ACTGCTTTGCCTGCTAGTATCAGGGCTTTAAACAAAGCTTGGTTCTCTTTGCTTATTGCTGGATTACCTACTATACTCATTAGCATTAAATTAAAGTTAATGTGTAATGATACTTTACATGTCTTATTTATAATTTGTAATATCTTTGTCCAGAATTCTCTGACCTCTGGGCACTCCCACCACATATGGGAATACCATCCCTTCGATTGTTTACAATGCCAACATCTAGGGCTCATACCTGGGAACATGTTTGCAATTTGTGCTGGTGTTTTATACCATTTGGTAAGAAATTTATGCTCCATTTCATTAAATTTGATTACTTTAATTTCCTCAGTTCCTTTCATTATTTTTCTTGCCATACTATCTGTTATCTGACCTTCTTTGGCCCAAGTGTTTTGTAAATACAATATTGACTTATCTACATTTGATGTCATTTCCTTGTAAATTTTCCCTGCTAGCCCTTGTTTTGACTTTTGCATCTCTTTGTATAATGTTTCTATTGGTTCCTCTAGCCAACATTTCTCTTTTTCCTTTATCTTTTTAACCTTACTATACAGGCCAGTTATTCTTAACCAATGTTGGTTGCCCACCTCTTCTATTATCTCCTGTATGGGTTTTAGATTGCCTCCTCTAAACATATCTTTCATCCTATAATACCCTTTAGCTTTTAGCCATTCCCACCATTCGTTACCTGTTATATCCTTGTTTATAGATTTTAATGGTGCCCAGCTTGAAGTTTTTCTTAGCCATAACTCCTGCCACTTATTCCACGCTTCTAAGGCTGCATGTCTGGGACCTTTGGTTAGTTTGAGGTCTATTTTTGTGACTTTGCAAAGAGGCCCCCAGCAGCCAATGTGATTATTGATCTCGTTCTCAAATCTAACCCATTTTTGCTCTTCCCCTTCGCCTATTTCTAATAGGGACTTTATTTGGAAGGCTTCATAATAGCTGTTAAGCTCCGGGACTCCCCACCCTAGCTCCCCTTTGGGACTATATATCAATCTCTTTTGGGTTCTGTACTTCTTGCTCCCAAATACCCATTCTCTAATCACTCTGTTCCATTGTTCTAGCTTTTTACTGTGTGCTTCTAGTGGTATCGCCTGAAATAAATATATTAATTTGGGTAGCCAGAACATTTTAACACTTCTAATTCTAGTGGAGAGCCCTAGCGTTTTGTTTTTCCATTTTCTCATATCTTTTTCTATTTTCTTCCATATTATGTTGTAGTTACTTTCCGCGATTCTATCAATCTTTTTTTGTATCACTATCCCTAAGTATTTAAACCTTTTAGTTCCCATACCGATACTTGTAATTTTGTTTACTTCTTTTTTTTCTTCTTTATTCACATTAAGGTACATGATTTCTGATTTGGCCATATTTACTTTTAAACCTGAGAAACACTCATAATCCTCTAGTATAATTTTAATCTCTTTCATCGCTTCTTGGGGATTTGACATAACCACTATAATGTCATCTGCAAATAAATTAATTTTCATTTCTTCCTTCTTTGCTTTGAGACCATTTATCCTTACACTATTTCTTATTCTCTCAGCTAGCTGTTCTATCGCTATGGTAAATAGAAGTGGTGAGAGTGGGCAGCCCTGTCGAACTCCTCTCTGAATCTGAAATGTTTGTGATTTGTCATTGTTAACCTTAACCACTGCTTTCCCATCTCTATATATTTCCTGGATTGCTTTTATAAAATTATCTCCCATCTTGTACTTTCTCATAACCTGCCACAAAAATCCCTGAGAGAGGGTATCGAAAGCTTTATAGACATCCAGTTTTAGGAGGGCTAATTTTTTTTGTTGACTATGTTGCAGTACGTTTATTATGTTCCTAATCGGATGAGCAATATTCCTCCCCTTAATAAACCCATATTGATCTTCTTTTATTATATTAGGTATGATGTTCTTTACTCTGTTTGCCAAGATTTTAGCAAAGATCTTATAATCTTGATTAAGGAGACTAATGGGACGGTATGAACCTACTTCTTCCGGGTCTTTACCTGGTTTCATGATTACTATTATTTCTGTTTGTCTCCATGAGTCTGGGGCTTTCTCCCCCCTCAAGATCGCATTGAAGACCATATGTAGCTCTGGGGTTAATATTTCTACCATTTCCTTATAAAATTCACTTGTAAACCCGTCTAAACCCGGGGATTTCCCCTTTCTGAGTTCCTTAATTGCATCTTTTATTTCTTGTATGGTAATTTCCTCTTGTAATTTACTTTGCTCCTCTTCCTTCAGTGTAGTTTTGACCTCTTCTGTAAAGACTGCAGTGTCTCTTTTCGCATATAGATTTTTATAGTAAGTCGCGAACGCCTCTCTTATTTCTATAGGGTGTTGAGTTTTTTGGCCATTCACCTTTATGCTTTTTACCCTTTGCTTTTCCTTCCTATTTTGCAGGTATTTTGCTAATCTTTTTGATGTGTTAATACTATTTCTTTGATATTCATTTTTCACCATAGCTTCCCTTTTCCATAATGTTGTCGAGTCTAGTGCATCCAATTGCTTTCTGATTTCTATTATTTGATTCTGTATCATAGGGTTATATTTGTGCATTAATTTACTTTGTAAAGTCCCCAATTCTTGAATTTTGGCTTGCCTTCCCTGGTACCATTGCTTTTTTAGGAGCTTTTCTTTCTTTATGCAATGCCCTCTTATCACTGCTTTTGCTGCATCCCATAATACATTTATAGGTACTGTTCCTCTGTTTTCCTCAAAGTATAACTTTATCTGCTCTGATATGTAATGTCTATCCCTTTCTTTGGCCATTATCAAATTGTTGTATCTCCAAGTTCTATCTATTGGTTGTTGTGTGAGTTCTATTACCATGCTAATTGGAGCGTGATCCGAGATCCATATCTGATGGGTCTTAATATCTTTAAGAATCGTATTATTATTCTTTCCCAAAATTATGTAGTCTATACATGATGCTGTTTTGTGTCTGCTTGATATATGTGTAGGTTTGGGGTGGTACCCCATAGACTCGTGAGCCTCTATCAGGCCCCAGTTCCCTAGCTTCATTGATTTATCTTTTGTTAAATCCAAATTTAAATCCGCCGCTATAATAATGAAAGATTAGCAAACTAACCTTCTTGAGTTCAGTTCTGCAGTTGATCCATAGGATGTTGAAAACATGCATTTTTACGACCTCTCTCATGCACACTTTTTAAAATGCCATTGGGGAAGTGCACCTGCTACGTTGCAGGAATCCATGGCAAAAGAATACTCAGAAGTCTTTGGTGGAATATTGTTCCACGTGCTACAAAACAGAAGCATCAGAAAATGTAATGAAATTACCCAAAGTTCCATATTCCTTTTCCAGAACAACAGTTTTAGCTTCAGCTGGTATAAGAGCTCTTGTGAGTATCTACATATCACACATAACTGAACCCAAACAGCTATTTCTAAAGCAAAAAAGCAGCTTTGAGAGGAGATGGTTTGCACAGTTATGGGAGGGAGGTTGCTTAAACCTTTCCTTATGCACCACTTTTTGTTCCAAATGTATACCTCCAGCTACTTTCCCCCCACAGAGTTCAAAACTTATGTCCCTTTGCAATGAATGGATTCATTGCAGGAGTTTAACACTAAGGGGGAAATAGCTCTAACTCATTCATCTTTCCACAGGCAGATTTTTTAAAAAGAAAAACAGTCACACTATGAATGTTTCCTATTTCTAGTGCTTATTTTAAAGAGATCTTTCTTTTCCTCCAGAAATAATAAATCTTGTTCTCTTTGCAAAGAAGCAATCACAATTCAAATTATATTGCAGTGAGAGAAGCAGATGAAAAATAATATATGCTGGAAGTAAGGAATGTGTATTGCTTCAGCCATGTTTCTGTGTTCTGAGTTTAGATTAGGTTTAAAAAATGATCAGAATAGCTGAACATTTATGAATTCAGTATGGGTATTTGTTTTCATGCTTCCTTAGCCTTTCAGAGAAATCTCTGACAAGCTCTTTATGTCTAAAGAAATTTAAAGCCCTTTAGAAATTCCCTGAGCTGCTAAAAGATCTCATCAAAAGATACTGGTGTTGTAGCAAGAAGAGTCTGCCGTTTATTTCGCTGCGTTTGCTTGCTGAAATAGAGTGAGTAAACTCTTATCTCTAACCTTCTGGCTTGGCACAGCTGTTGTTTAATGTTTAGCACCTAATTATATGCTAGGCTTGAAGTTGTTTGCAGTTGTTTAAGCTATAAATACCTTAGTGTTTGGAGAGAGCTCGGAGCCAGGCGTCCTGCCGAGTTAACGCATGCGTGCAACCCCCCGACAACTTGCCTCATGTCAGCTGGGGGCTCTGGCAGGTATCAACCTGCCGGTGGGCAAAACCAGCAGTTGCCTCTGCCTTCTCCGTTGTGGCTCCTGCCTTGTGGAGCGGCCTGTCCCAGGCGGCCAGGCAAACTGTGCCAAACTCAGCTGTTCCAGGGGGCTCTTCTGGGCACAAAACGAATGAACGAGGGGGAGTGTGGTCGGCGCTGCCATATCCTGCTACGTGATTTCTGTACCACTTCATGTGTCAGTTTGGTGTAGTGGCTAAGTGCGCGGACTGTAATCTGGGAGAACTGGGTTTGATTCCCCACTCCTCCTCTTGCAGCTGCTGGGTGACCTTGGGTCAGTCAGTCACAAGCTCTGGCACAGCTGTTCCTGAAAGAGCAGTTTGTGTCAGAGTTCTCTCAGCCCCACCCACCTCACAGGATGTCTGTTGTGGGGAGGGGAAGGGAGAGGAGTTTGTAAGCCGCTCTGAGACTCCAAGTGAAGGGCGGGGTATAAATCCAATCTCTTCTCTTCTTCTTCTGTCATGCGAACACTTGTGGTCTGCCTCAGTTCTCCCTAAAGTCCTGCGGCATTGCTTCTTGAATGTGTCATGTTGGTGACTGCACTGACTCCCTCTGTGGAAGCTGCCTTGACTCCTTGTGGGGAAGGCAGACTAGAGGGAGGGAGGGAGGGAGGGAGGGAACGGACCGGCTCCCTCATCACTGCCGCCTTCTGCTTGCCAGGATGCCGCTGAGGGCGCAACGGAGCCGCTGCCTTGGGGTGCTGCTGGTGGGGGTGCCGGTCTCCCTCTTCCTGTACTCCTGCCGCCTCACTCTGCGGACCCAGCACCTGCCTCCCCCCCTCCAGCCAAGCCTCCCCGCGTCCCGCCGCCAGTCCGTCACCTTGAGCGACGGGACCCTCACTTTCCCCCTCAACCTGAGCCGCTACGAAGCTGAGTTCCCCCACCTGCAGCACCACCCCTGCCGCGCCGTGATCGCCGAGGCCGGCGTGTGCCGGCATGTGCCGGGACCCCCCTTGCTCCTCTTGGCCGTGAAATCCCATCCTGCTTCCAGCGGGAGAAGGGCTGCCCTGAGACGCACCTGGGCTCGGCCAGGGGAGGCGGGGGGCTTCCGGCTGCAGCCCCTCTTCCTGATGGCGATGACCCCCGACGCCAGACACCTCCGCCTGGTCCAGCGGGAGAGCAGCGACTTCGGGGACGTGGTGCTGTGGGACTTCCTCGAATCTCACCACAACCTCTCCCTCAAGGAGCGCTGCTTCCTCCAGTGGCTCCACCGGCACTGCCAGCAAGCGGTGTTCGTCTTCAAAGGTAAAAACGGGCGTGGTGGTGGTGGTGGTGGTGGTTTACAGGCGCACGTCTCTACTCCACTGTGGGACGGCTCTCAGGGAAGCACAGCGGAGGGACCTCTCCGACGCAGGCGGGGCAAAGGCTGCAACTTTAACATGCGTTATTCAGCAGCATCCAAACAGAGTTCCCCAAAATGCCCCCCCGCAAAACCTCCCCCCCTCTGCCAGTTGAATTTCACACTTCCAACATGCCCAGAGGCCTTGTCCGCTGCCAAGCAGATCCCGCGTTCTCTTTGCTGGAGCCCCGGACAGCCTGGCTCTCCCTGGGGAGTGCGGGTGGCAACAGCCAAGGCAAACCTGCTCTGCAAGCCGTGCTGCTTAGAGGGAAAGCGAGGCGGGGAAGTGTCCAGTTCTAGCCCCCGACACCCCCCCCCCACTCTCCTTGAAATCATGTTCCAGGCTTCATCGGACTGTAGGGAGCCCTTTTGGGTCACTGCTGTCTCCTCCGCACCTCTTCTCCTAACCCTTTAGCAATTACCCCCCCCACACACACACCCTTCCCTCCTGGAAGTCGAGGGCCGCATTCGTCACTCTCTGGGTCGGTCTTGTCTCCTGAGACTGGCCGTGGCTCTCCAGGGTGTCTCAGGCAGAGACCCTTCACAGCCCCCTCCTGCCTGGTCCTCTCAGCTGGAGAGGCTGCCAGGGATCGAACCCAAAGCCTTCCACGTGCCAAGCAGAGGCTCTGCCACTGGGCCACAGCCCCTCCCCTGCACCCTGCATGCTTCTAAAAAGTATCTCACTCTCCTCAACTTCAGAACGCCTCTAAACAAAAAACCCTGTTGCCCTTTCCAGGGGACGACGATCTCTTTATGAACCCCGAGGCCCTGGCTGGATACCTGCGGCACTTGCCCAACGCCTCCCTCTTCATACACGGCAACATCCAGCGCCACTCAGCTGTGATGAGGCGGGGGAAGTACGGTGTCTCTCGCACCCTCTACCCTCTGGACCACTACCCCCACTTTGCTTCCGGCGGGGGGTTTGTCCTGCCCGGCTCCTCGCTCCCTGCCCTCTACCAGGCGTCGCTGCAGCTGCCCGTCTTCCCCCTTGACGACGTGTACTTGGGGTTCCTGGTCCTTGCAGCCGGCCTGCCCTTCTCCCACGACGAGCGCTTCAGAGTGTGGGGAGCCCCCAAGGACGAGCCGGAGGTGTTCCGGGAGTCCTTCACTGTCCACGGGGTCACCCCGGAGAGGATGGAGGAAGTGTGGAAGGGACTCGGGAGCCCTCACCGAAGCGCCCGCCCTGGAGCCCTCGATCAGGGAGGCTCCCCCCGAAGACAGGACTGAGGGGCGACGTGACTGAGGGTGACATGAGAAGAGAGGACTGAGGGGTGACACGATCAAGGTTTACAAGGTTGTGCCTGGGATAGAGCAGGTAGAGAAAGAGGTCCTTTCCTCCCTTTCTCACAAAACAAGAACTCCTTGTGGGCACGCCATGAAATTGCTGAGCGGTCGGGTTAGAACGGATAAGAGGAAGAGTGTATTTATCTTTTCTATATGGTTTCCCATTTGTGCTTACCTTACAATAATAGGCTGATGCAGTGCTAGGGGCAGGCCTTCTGTGCTGCTGGTAGTCCACCAGTGGCTCTTAGCCACAAGGTATAGATAGGAACTCTCAGTGTGGGGCAAGGGATGCTCTGTGTTCTTGGTGCTAGGGGGGGCAGTGGGAGGGCTTCTGGTGTTCTGGCCCCCACTGCTGGACCTCCTGGTGGCCCCTGGTATTTTTGGCCACTGTGTGACGGAGTGTTGGGCTGGATGGGCCATTGGGCTGATCCAACATGGGCTTCTCTGATGTTCTTATGACTCTCCTTCCTGACTCTCTGCCCAGTTGGCCGGCTGGTGGAAGTGTTGGTAGTTAATATTCGGCACTCAGATCAGTCGGATCTAAGTGACAGCTGACAAGCTGCAGATAACAAGTTCTGACCAGATAAGAAACGAGGTCAGTAATTATGACTCAGCATGAAGCTAATTGGACAAGCTATGTATATAAGTGGACATGCTATACCTCTGTATTCTCTCTTTGTGATTGTGATGTATGGCGGAGCACTTTGTCGGTGGAGTGTATATATTGTGAATAAACCTGTATGTAGTGTACCACTGGACTGTGCTGGTGTGGTGCTTTATAGGACCTCCACTGCAGTGAATGCTGGTGAGTGCTGGAGTGGCTGGAAAAGCCCTCATGGCTGGTGTTGCTGAAAGAGTGCTTCAGACACGCTGCGCAACAGGAAGCAGCGCCTTCATCTCCGTTCTGGCCCGGCCCAAAGCAACCGACTGTGCTCACATCCCTCCGGTCCTACCCCAAGCCTGACAGGCAGCATCTGCGCTCAGGGAGATCTGCGCAGCCCCTGCTCCCAAACCCCACCCGGGGGTGGGGGAGTGTTCCGGTAACCTGACAGAGGTCAGACTCCATTCCTGTCAAGCGAGAAGCACCCAGACGCACCTAGCTGTGTGCAAGACGGTATGTGTGAACGGTCGGCAGGGTCAACCCGACTTCAAGAGCCTGGCTGCAGGCCCGTCTCACAGGGTTCCCTCCCGGCTCTTCCCCACATCCCTCGCCGGAGAAGCAGGACCGACAGGGCCAAATCCCATTCCTCGGAGTCCAAGCAGGGGCTAGGTGAGCGGGTCAGACCTGCCTGGCCGCCTGCCCGAGGTCCTCCCAGCCCCACCCAGGCCTTCCACCCAAAGAGCAAAGTTGGAAGGAACCGGTGTGTGGAAAGGGGCTGTGTAGGACCAGCCTGCAAATTCACACGGTGCCTGTGCGCGCGCAAAGACAGCCGCATCCACAAAATGGTGTCCAAATGGGAAAGTTTATTGAAATCTATTTGGAACTGAGGAAATGAAATGTACAAAAAAAACCCCGAGGGCACAGAGGGACGGGGAGGGGGACGCACAGAAGCCACGAGAGCCGCATTTAAAAAACCCACCCTGCAGGGAAGTGCTTGGGGTGGGGGGTGGGGGACGGACTTCTCACTCAGAAGAAATCCACATCTTCTGGGGCATCCAGGTCTCTGTACTCTACAATTGCGCGCGGGTCTCCTCGGACCATCCTGCGGAGAGAAGCAGAAGTGAGCTGGGGACCCGGCCCCTTCTCCGCCTCCTCCTGGTGCGGCTGGGGTCGGCAGCCTGCGCCTCGAGAGCCAAGCGGGGCCCGGCCCGGAACAAAGAGGAGAAAACGAAGCCCTGAAATGATGATACACAGCGGGGAGAGGCGGGGACAGCCAGTGCCTGAAGGGAAGGGGAGGCTCAGATCGGGAGGGGACCAAACGGCTTCCCGGAGACGCTTTATGGGGAGGGGAACGAGAGAGAGCAAGAGCTGCCAGGAAGCCAAGAGTGAGCCATGCCAGCACACTATGACAAATCACCCGTGGTGCTCCTGGGTACATTTCCTCCTGATTGTGAGACCTCGTGTGCGCGGCCGCCCAATAAAACACGACAAAACCACAGCGTGGGCCATGGAAGCGACAGGTTATTCATCAATGTGTTAATTATAGGTAACGTGAAGCTGTATGATGGAAGTTATGCAGACGGGCTTTCTCCTCCTGGCTCTTCCTTGATCTCTCGTCCTGTTCCACATGTTTTCGTAGTTTGGCTCTCTGACCATAAAAGGCTGCTGACCCCTGGGGCTTATAAGCTCACCGCGGCCCCTGCCCCCAATGCAGCCCACACCAACCTGTTCCGCGGCTTGTTCAGGTATCCGCCCTGCCCTCTGAAGGTGTCGTAGTTCCCCCTGCCGGCCGCGTATGGGGCTGGCGGGTAGGGAGGGGCCCCTGTGCAGAGAGACAACCACGTTGGCACGGTCAGTCCCCAGAGCATCAAGAGGTTTCCAGTGCTGATGACTGCTGGACAGCTTTGACAACCGCCCTGTCCCGCCCACGGCTAGAACGATCCCTCCAGGCAGTTTCTGGCAGCAGGAACCGTATCACTGACCCTCTCCAGACCTGGTCCCCTCCCCGTTGTATTCCTAAACGTGACTCTTCCAACACACAGACAGACAGGGGTACTCAGCAGACAGGGGTACTCAGCACACAGGGCGCGGCCCTTCGTTTCTCTGCAACGACACCTGCAAACGCCTCAATCAACCCTTCCGCCTTTCCAGAACACGTGCTGGAAATCAGGCCTGTCCTGCTGCAAGTCTGTTTCAGCCCCAGAAGGGAACCGATGCCTCCTCCAGGTTCACGGGGGGATCTGCCCTGAAGCCAAGCCAAGAGCAATTCCCAAACCACGCTCTCGGCCCGCTTAAAGTCCCGGAAAGTGCCTGACTGAGGGAAGGGCAGCCAACGTCATCTCACCACCCGGCCCCGGCGTCTACATACCTCCATAGCCCAGGATGGGTGGGCGGGGCTGTCCGTAGGGCATCAAGCCTTGGGGGGCCTGTGGGGGGTAGGGCAACCCCGGGGCCACGCCTGCGGAGGCAAAAGAAAGTGCCCCCTGAGAACGAAGGCTGGGAGCTGACCTTACGGGTTGGTGTGTGTGTGTGGGGTGCCTCATGACCTTGAGAATGGCACCAACCAGTGTTCCCTCTAAGCTGAGTTAGTGTGAGCTAGCTCACAGTTTCGTAGCCTCCGGCTCACACATTTCTGTCTTGGCTCAGGGAGGAGGGCTCCAGAGCAGACTAATTTATGCAGCAGCCAAATCGCTCACTCACAACTTCAATGCCAGTAGCTCACAAAGTAGAATTTTTGCTCACAGGAGTCCATGGCTTAGAGGGAGCATTGGCACCAACCCGGGGAACTGCAAAGCAGTTGTACTTCCCCAGCTCCTCCGGCCATCACTGTCCTGGGAGGGAGGGGTCTGCCAAGGTTTAAGGCCAATGCAGCAGGGATAGCCCGGCACGTACTTGCATCGGTAGCTTCCTATCGGGGATCTTGGGGCAGCCCCCCCCCCCCCCCCCCCCCCCCCCAAACCCCTTTCACCCAACAACACACACACCCCCGGAGCTTCTTCAGGGCCTGCAGCCGAGTGCCCTTGGTGGCCAGGCCTATCTGGGTGGAGGCTGGGCTCAGTGCGAGAACACTGGCTCTGCCTGCAGAGGAGGAGGAGACTGGATCTATAACCCCGCCCTTCACTCAGAGTGGCTTACAAACTCCTCCCCCTCCCCACGACACACACCCTGTGAGGTAGGCAGGGCTGAGAGAGCTCTTGACAGAAACGGCTCTTTTTCAAGAACAGCTGTGCCAGGAATAAGGCTTGCCCAAGGTCATCCAGCAGGTGCAAGCGGAGGAGTGGGGAATCAAACCCGGTTCTCCCAGACTAGAGTCCATGCACTCAACCACTACACCAAACTGGCTCTCCCCGCTGGGTAGTAGGCAGCCCCGCCCGTCACAAGGCTTTGTCTGTAGGTGACGAGAGGGACCTCAGCACGAGACCCCGCAGAGGGGACCAGGCCGCCCCGGTGAGAATCAGGAGAAGGCGGCTTGGCGGCTTCCCATCTCTGAGCCGGCAGGGCAATCCTTTGGGGCTTCGAGGGCAGTCCAGTCCCACTCCCAGCTCCCTCCCCACCTGCCGGCGCCGTCCCCACTGACCTTGTCCGGGGGCTGGTGGCTGGTTGGGCTTGAGTTCGGGCAGCGCAGGCCTCTTGGCGTCCGTCAGGAAGTTGTTGAAAAACGCCACCTCCTTCTTCACCTCCTCAATCTTCTCGGCGTGCTTGTTGAAGATGTGCTTGCGGACAAACTCAGGGCCCTGGGGGCAGAGGACAGTGACCCTCCGGCAGGCTCAGCTTCCCTTCCCTCCCCAGGGGGAGGGGGTCCGGGGGTGGGGTGGGGAAGGGGCACCTACCTTGAACTTCTTCCATCTGAGGGGACACAGCCACTTGTCCTTGCCCAGCTCCTGGGTGTTGGCCATGACAAACTTCTCCACCTCCTGCTCAGGGTCCTTCTTGCCCATCTTCTGGGCCTCCTCCTCCGAGAGGGACTCCCGGACGCTGAACAAGGGGGTCAGCTTCTCCTCAAAGGTCTTCTCCCAGTGGCCCACTGGGGGGGGGGGGGGGGGGGGGGACACCGTGGGTAGACGGAGGAGCCTGGAGGTCGGGCAGGCCCCCCCCCCTCCCAGAAGCCTCTGGGGTCAGGAACAAAGCACAGCAAAGGGGGGGGGAGAGGATTCCCCGAAGGGAGCCCAGCCACCCATATGCTCGAGGGCCCCCTCTCCGCGCACCCCCCCTCCCCAGGACGAGCAGCCGGGTCTGTCAGAGGCTGGGGAGGAACTTCTGGACCGTGCCAGGCACAGACACAAGGCAGGCCGCCGATCCTCCCTCGACCCAACGGCCGGCTGGGCCCCAGTGCACCCCCCCC